GAGTGTAAACACAGGGGGGAGCTCTCTCTCTCTCTCTCTCTCTCTCTCTCTCTCTCTCTCTCTCTCTCTCTCTCTCTCTCTCAGGTGGATAAAGCGAGTAAAAGGTGGAGGGGGGGTTTCTGATTTGGTGTGCTGGAACTGAGAGTCAACATCTGAGGCTGCTGGTTTTTCAGGTCCTCCCACTCGGGCATCGAGGGAAGCCTGGCGTGGCGCCTGATTAAAAAAGCATTGGCGGCTACCACTGCCTTGGCCCACTAAAATCTTTTTGCTGTAGTTTGAGAAGAACATGAGCTGTTTCCTTCTCCCAAGCATCGGCACCACTGCCTTGGCCCACTAAAATCTTTGCTGTAGTTTGTGAAGAACATGAGCTGTTTCCTTCTCCCAAGCATCGGCTGCCGTCCATCGCGTTGTCCCCGTCTCCTCCCCCCTACCACAGAAGCCGCAAAAATCAGCCAAGTGTATGGAACTTACCACCGACGCTCTACTGTGAGATCAACTCGAGCTTTCTCCAGGTGGAAGGATGAGGAGCGCATGTCTCGCCACCTTACCAACCCCCCCTCTCTCCCTCACTGAAAGGAGGGGGGCATAGTCCACTAGAGAGGAGTGAAGTCCAATCCAACGTCGGAGCCCCCCCCCACAGCGTCTTGGTGGACGGGAGGCAACGGCGGGACAGAAAGAGTTTAAAAACAGGAGGGAAGTCTCTCTCTCTCTCTCTCTCTCTCTCTCTCTCTCTCTCTCTCTCTCTCTCAGGTGGATAAAGCGAGTAAAAGGTGGAGGGGGGGTTTCTGATTTGGTGTGCTGGAACTGAGAGTCAACATCTGAGGCTGCTGGTTTTTCAGGTCCTCCCACTCGGGCATCGAGGGAAGCCTGGCGTGGCGCCTGATTAAAAAAGCATTGGCGGCCACACTTGCGGTAAAATCAGCAGGAAATGTCACGCCACGGTGTACCTGGTTGAAACATTAAAATCCATGACTTCAGGGATTCCCATACATAATACTTCAACTAGGGATACATCACAGACGAAGTTCAAGTACTTACATTTGAGTAATCGCCAATACTGAGTAATAATACTTGGTCATGCCATGATGTCTTGCAATTTTCATGACAAAGCGTTGTATTTAAAAAAAAAAAATCAGACTAAAGTCGATTTGGTAGAATAAAATGTAGATAACCGATTAAGATATCGTACGAGTAAAATAACTAACATTTTTTTGTTCCTTAACACGAACAACAATAGCGATAGGTGTCTTGGTGGACGGGAGGCAACGGCGGGACAGAAAGAGTTTAAAAACAAGTGGGAAGTCTCTCTCTCTCTCTCTCTCTCTCTCTGTTTCTCTCTCTCTCTCTCTCTCTCTCTCATGCAGGCAGTATATAATATAACTCGTTTTTCCTTAAAAAATTTTTCGTTTAAAATGCAATATTGTCGTTTTTCGTAAAAAGAATGGATAAAGCGAGTAAAAGGTGGAGGGGAGGTTTCTGATTTGGTGTGCTGGAACTGAGAGTCACCATCTGAGCTCGGCTGGTTTTTCAGGTCCTCCCACACGGGCATCGAGGGAAGCCTGGCGTGGCGCCTGATTAAAAAAGCATCGACGGCCACACTTGCGGTGAAATCAGCGGGAAATGTCACGCCACGGTGTACCTGGTTGAAACACTAAAATCCATTACTTCAGGGATTCCCATACATAATGCTTCAACTAGGGATGCATCACAGACGAAGTTAAAGTACTTACATTTGAGTAATCGCCAATACTGAGTCCTAATACTTGGTCATGCCATGATGTCTTGCAATTTTCATGACAAAGCGTTGTATTTAAAAAAAAAAAATCAGACTAAAGTCGATTTGGTAGAATAAAATGTAGATAACCGATTAAGATATCGTACGAGTAAAATAACTAACATTTTTTTGTTCCTTAACACGAACAACAATAGCGATAGTGTGTGTGTGTGTGGGGGGGGGGGCAGTGTGTTGCATACATGCAAATGAATCTCATAGATTTGATGAAAAGGCACAAAGAAGAATGCAGGCAGTATATAATATAACTCGTTTTTCCTTAAAAAATTTTTCGTTTAAAATGCAATATTGTCGTTTTTCGTAAAAAGAAAACATTTTTAAAAATTCAAACACTGTATTCAAGTCTTTCCTGCGACATCTATGCTTTTTATTAGCGCGTTTACAGCATTATGTATTATGTGTTCGAATTAGCATTGAGCTAGAGAACTTTTGCAATACAAATGTATGTGTTTGCTTGAATAAAAATACAATTCTTTTTGTTTTGTGTTCATTTGACAATAGACTTCAATTGGGACTGTCGAACGAAACAGCTTGAAGCAAACACATGTTGACTTTTTTTGAGGAGACAGTGTTGACATGCAGTATTGGTGCATCCCCAATCTCAACAGACAAGTGCATCACAATAGCTTGGAATAACATGGAAAACTGATACGACAATTGTCTGAACCTTGAAGGAGGTCTGCGCCACACCGAGTGCTATTCAGGTGGACCTCACTTTCTTTAAGCCTTATCACAAATCCAGTCATCCCTACATGAGTGCGCAAGTGGTTGAAAATTAACTACATTAGCTGGCTCAAGTGTATCAGATAAAGAGTATGTAGCAAATTTGGTCACATTTCTGTGGAAGTAATGTGTGCAATATCTCTTATCTTATTATTGTATCTCCAGTAACAGAACCTCACTTGTAGGCCCCCCCCCACTGGGCTCTCCAGTTACAATCCGGAGGCTCTTAAGGCAGCTACTGTAGCTTTTTTTGTGAGCAGGTTTGAAGTGAACACATTGTTCATTATTCCCAGGTGTTCCCATGTCACTGCAGCAGCCTTATATAAGAAGGGCAGAGATTAAAAACCCCGCATAGAGGTCAGCTTTCACTCAACATAAAAAAAAAGTGGATGTAGTCGTCCCACGGCTGAAAAGTGAAGCAAATGCATATTCTGGCAAAAGTTTACTTAACTGAGATGTTTTTTTTAATGAAAATGGAGAGCAACGACAGTTTTTGCACCACAGTGTAAATGTAGCACAACTTCCCAAAAGTGACGTCGCACTAGTTGAGAGTGAACAGACCTACAGTGGTGCCTTGAGATACGATTCTCTTTGTCATATTTTTTAAATGTTTTCAGCCATAATAGTGTCTCTCAAAGCAACTTATAAAAAGACACATTAATATCAAAGTTTGCATGTATCATGATACAGATTATGAAGTCAAAAGTTTTGACAAGTTTTAAGGCCAAGATAAGGTCTGTAAAGGTTTTATCTTGCACCAAGTGTTGTCTTTATAAAAATGTGTATTTTTACTTTTTACTAAAAGTTTTGACCTTCGAAGGAATTAATTCATGTCATATTTTCCGTGGGGGGAAAATTGTTGGTTCGGTGTGCTCGCCTTCTGAGGTGTAAACTAAATGACACAAAGAGAATCACATGATGTGGATACTTCTTTAAAAAGATTACGGTAGTCAACCTTTACACCTTCATAAAACATTCATCTGTTAATAAGACATTGGTAGGTCAATTTCGAGCCATAAAGCAGGTTAAACATACATTGGCTTATTATAAAAGACACCAAACGTGGCTTTTAAGAAGCAGTTTTTATGTATGTTCTCTATGTGAAACAATACTACACAAATAGAAGCAGATACTGTCAAGAGAGAAAGAACATGAAAACACACATACTTGTACCGGTATCACAACTGTAAATTATTGCTCATTTTGCTACTTTGTTTTCTGGATTTTCCTACCGAACAAGACATATTAGTCACGTGTCAACCAAAATATTTGACAACAAAATAAACAAAGAAAACAATACAATAGTGACAAACATCATTGAGCTTTTTCCTCTGAAATGATCAGTGCGCTTCTTCATCATCAACATCGTCCAAGAGAAGCCGTGACAAAGCGCGCGTGTACGCGAACACACGGCTGGGACAGCGCCCTCAGCAACATAAAAAAATTGGCATATGTACAAGAATATACACGTACACACACATCTGTGAGCACAGAGAGTACAAAAAAGTCATGTCGCTGGCCCTTTAAGTCGGGTCCCACCAAGCTGCTTCCGTATCTATGTCACACATCGACATCTTGATGAAAAACGTTAAGGGGATGCTTTTGTTTTGAGGGCCAACAAAAAAAGCCACAGCTGTGATGTTGTGACACGGGAAAAAACAAACAAACAAACAAACAAAAAACGAGTGCCACATGCTCGTGAAGGCCAGTTAAGGTGTGGGACGAACACAAACCAAAAAAAATTAATGTGCTTCTGAACTGGTGCAAAGGAGGCAATCACAAAAACAGAGTTAAAGTGCTGACATGCATCTTTTAGCATACTAAAAATCGCAATCTTACCATCTGAAATGTGATAATGAACCAGGTTTATGCAATGGTGGGCAACGTGTGGCATGTGGGCCATAAACAGCCCAAGGAGCCCACATGCCATGAAAATGTTAAAAAAAAAAAAAAAGAAGCCCTCAGAGGAACTCTTATACATTTGTTCTGTTGCACTCCACTCATGTCAAGTGTTTTTTTTTTTTAAATGAGGAAACATAGTATTCTATGATTGCTAATTGTACTTTATAAAACCATACATGTTGAACGAAATAAAGAGAATGTAAAGAATGAAACAGTTTGTGCAATATTATTTCATGCTATTATCAATTCATTGTGCTGCCCCTTCTGGTGTACCCGCCTTGGCCACCAGGAGACAGTATGATACTCTACAGAAGGTGTCACCAAACTACTCATTGGCTACTGATGAGTGTGAAGGGCGACCAAATGATGCACACTTCTGAAAGAACACATTTGCCCAAATTCCGTTTATTATTATTATTATTATTATTATTATTATAAGGGGTGGGCAGGAGAAATCAGGTGGCGGAGCCATTACCCCCGGAATCAATGGAATAATCCATAGAATAACCTTTGGGCTACTCATGTGGTCCTTGGGGGCTAACTGGTACCCGTGGGTACCACATTGGTGAGCCCTGCTGTACAGACATGCAGACAAAAAAAACAGAATCGACCTCTTTGCTACTACTGTTGTGTGACTCAGTAAGATGCTTGAATACTCGTCATTCCTCTGAGAGGATAAAGAACATATGCCTGTGACTATTGTTATATTATCTGTCTACATACGTTGCTCTACCGATTGCCTTTAAATATCAATTGCTTCTAAAACCAAGCAACAATGCTAACCATTAGCATGTCAATGGCATTTGTTAGCATTAAATTAAGCAAACTTTTTAATCAGGAGAAGCTATGTAGTTTTAAATAACACAAGCTTTAATGTGATGGTAAACTTCAATTGGGCGTGGCATTAAACATATTCAAGCCTTTTTTTTTAATGTATTTTTTTAATGTTTGCCAAACTGCTGCATAAAGTAGAAGAGTCACAGAGATGCATAATAGTGAACGTAACTGGAAATGTATTGCTCAACTCATGTATTGTGAATTGTATGTATTTAGCTGTTGTAAAAGAACAGCAAATTGTGCAAATCGGTGCGATAGTGCCTTTTCCGAAATTCCACCCGAACCATACGATACAAATATCTCGAACTTTTTGGGTGTAGTCTATCTTGTATGGTTCTTGTTACCCTACGCTAATGTACGTAATAAGGCGTGAACAAATGAATGAAGAAATGTAAAGTTGGATTAATAATCCATCCATCCATTTTCTATACTTTCTGTTCTAATTTATCTTATTCGCGGGTGTGAACTGGGGCTTATCCCATCCTCGACCGGCTGCAGGTCACTCACAGGGCAAACGATCATCTCCACTCACATTCACACCTATGGACAATTTTGATTTGTGTCTTGGAGCAACTGAGTGCATGGACCAAAAAGCGTCTTCATTGTTAGCCGTTAGCCTGGTTAGCATCTCGTAAACTCACGCAGCTGCTGCTAACATCTGAATCAAGATACAACACATACTGTACAGATTTTTTTTTAAAGTAAGAAAACATTTCCATGCATGTGCTTGTCACTCTCACAGTGCGTGGCATGATCGATATGATCGCCACATATTGATGACCCCAGTTCAGTTGCTAACCAACCGCCTGATAAGCTGTACGTGAGTACCTCCTTAAGCATCCCAGCCAGTGTGCTTTCCTCGGTCTGTCTACGACTCCAAATAGATCCAGTGAACCCTTAATTATTAAGTTCACTGATTGTTCATTTCTTTACGTCTTATTAGCATTACTGAACACACAAAGCGGACATGTAACAAACAAACAAAAAAAAAGGCGAATGCTTAAGATAATCCTAAAGTCGTGTGGGTGAAGACGCATTCAATAACCACATATTTACTGTCATTCCCTCTCACTGAAGGAAATACGTGAGAATGCTTTGGTTGACATCTCATCAGGCAGCTTTCCCTCTTTGACTAGAAAAGCATCTACAAATACCAAGCGCTATGTACAAGCCGGAAAAAAGCGGGAGGACGCTCCCACCCTTGCAAAAAGGAGTGGTGATCCGAATGGGCGATAGAAAATGACATTGACAGCACGGGAGGAGTTTGAAAAATTCAAACGAAGGAGAAGAAAATGACCAAAAGACGCCATTTTGAAGTTCTGCATGCAAACAAAGAAAAACTTTTGTGTTTTAAGCATGCAAAAAGTGTATCAAATACACAATAAGAACACACATCTAATAGTGAAATTAAATTACAAAAGGGAGAAATATTCAGCCACCACAACTTTTTTTGTTAGTCACATATGGCACTCCGTGCAGTGTGTGGGACGTTTAATATTCACTTTATTAGTATTGTTTCACGCTGTCGAGTATATACATGCATCCCGATGCGAGCTGATATGAACATGAATGGAAAAAAACGGACCAAAAAAAAAAGTGCAAATCACCCCGAAACACACGAGCCATCGCTAAACGAAACAATTAGGTGTGCAGGGTACTAACACGCTAACTGGACTAGCGATGCGTGTAACGAGTGTGATGTGTGTGTGTGCGTGTGCGTGTGTGTGTGTGTGTGTGTGTCCATGTCTGCAGAGGTTCGGCAGGCCGGGGCAGAGCCAAGGGTGCCCCACTGGACAATGCGAGGAGTGGTTGGGTGTGTGCTAGTGTGTGTGCGTGCGTGTGTGTGTGTGTGTGTGTGTCCCCTCATGCGTTTCCTCCGAGCCGTCTCATCCGATGGCTTACAAAAACTGGAGCAATGTTTGTCTGTTTTTGAGCTGGAATGACAGCGGCAGCAGCGCCCTCTGTGAGTGCAAAGATGAGAGTGAGAGAGAGAGAGAGAGAGAGAGAGAGAGAGAGAGAGAGAGAGAGAGAGAGAGAGAGAGAGAGAGAAGGAGAGGGCGTGCTGTGTTGTAGGTCAACAAACAGCCTGTAGAGGGGGTTGGCGGGTCTAGTTGAAGACCTTTGGTGGCCCATCAGGACGTCTGGTCTGCACAATTTCCTGCTTGGGCCGCGCCGCTTCGTCGTCCTCCGTCTCGCTCTCACACACGTGCACCACCACGCTCGGGGTGGACTCCGTGCCAGCATGCAGCTCGTACTTCTCACCTGTCACAATGACATTTGGTTTTATACAAAATACCACCATCGTGACCAGCATTAAAATACAATAGCTTGGGGGGGAAATAAAAAAAGAGGGGAAGGATTGCTGCCTTAAAACTATTGTGTGGATCCCATCATCTGAACCAATTATCCTCAAGAGGGTATACTGTATAGTATAAACTAAAATACAGTACCCTCCGTAATTATTGGCTCGCTTGGTTAAGACACGTGAAGAGCCAATTACAGAAGTTTCCTCTCATACTGAAAAGTATGGAAATGGTTCGTTCACCAGACAGAGAATCAAGCTCCTCCCGGGGCCATCTCAGTCTCCAGACCCCAACCCTCTTGAAAACTTGGAGTGAGCTCAAGAGGAGAGTGCGGAAGAGCGGACCCAGGTCGCTGGATGATTGCAAAGCGGGATGGTCGAAAATCTCTCTCTTTCTGTATACTTCCATCTTTTGAAACATGATTGGAGAAGACTGGGTGCTGTTTGGTTGTGCAAAGTATTGACATCATAATTCTGGCACACATGATTTGATGTAAAAGAATGATTTCTTCATGTGGGATATTTTCTTCCGACTGAAGAAATGCACTTGAATGAATTGAGGTCCGAAATCATTTTGATCAACAATGATTAGAAGTTAAACAAGAAGAACACCCTCCTCCCCTGCGACTTGTATAAGTTCATACGTCACACACAATATGAGTTAAGGATGCATCAACATTCATTTCCAAATTTGATTTTGACGAATCCACTGTATAGCATGTCTCTAAAAATGTGACAAATTAAAGACAATTCGTTAGCCTACATGATGGTTGGAAAATAAAAATCTGCATCATGGTATGCACATTCACCAGACACTGCTCAATACTATCGCCCTTGCGCTATCAGAAATAAGCTATGTGTGTTTTCGGTCGGATGTTGACAAGCACAGGTGACTCAGAATGAAAGAATACGCTCTCCAGATTGCATCGCGGTTGCCACGGCAATAAGATGAGACGGAGGAAATTGGCCCTGAGGAACAACAAGAGAACGACAACGCGCCGTCACCGCGGTGAGCCAACAGAGGGGGTCGGTGCTCTGCGGGCTCAAACCCGACACCTATCTGGACTCTGGAGGGGGGGGAGCCGCTTCCTGACTCTCGGAGTTGCCTTGGCAACAGAGCAACGCCATTGTCCAACTGTCGTCTCTTTGGAGAGACCTTCCGTGCGAGAACCCTTTAAATAGGTTTTAGCTGATAAAAGGGGGAAAACGGAATAGCTTGAAAGAGCAAAAATGGGGAGACGCTTTCTTTTGTGCTTGCCGGATTTTTTCTCGAAAATGTGACTCATCTTGCACTCACGGCGCCTCCCTTTCACTGTCATGGGAAGCGAAATAGACAGTGAGAGTAATTGTCTCAAATCATGGAAGCTAGTGTTCAGATGGACAGAGTGAACAACTAAGCCCATTAGGACCCAGTTGCGAACCTAAACAGCAGCACCGAGTATTGTTTCTGATTAATTGTGGAGTCTGAGCGCATGTTGGGACATAGGTGTTCCTAAAAAGGTTTGTAATTGTCTACAGATGCGGGCACGGCAAAGAACTCATGCTTTTCTATTCGACAAGGCCTGACTTAATGAAGCGCCTCCCCTCACTTCAGCATAGTTGCGCGGCACCAATATGCCATAGGATGTCACTAGAACAATATTTTTATATGAGAAATGGCTTTGCTCTGAGCACAAACAAATACAATTTCAAATTTCAGCAAGTAACAGAAGATCACCTCTGCTCCAATAGGCCGAACTGCGAATGTGTGGGAGTTCACTGCAGTCCTTTTTTTTTTTCACATTTAGAAACAGGAACAGATCTATAACATTGTTTAAAGAATTTCTAAAAATGCATGTCTTAAAATAAATGGCTGAATAGACGCTCACCATCCAAGAAAAAAAAAAAAAAGGTCCGTAACTGGAAATATCTTCAGTTCGTGCAGACACTTGTTCACACAAACCGCTGCTGAGCCTATTTCAAATCAGCTGCGAACCAAAACAGCAGCACATGAAGACTTTCTCAGATGAATTCAAGCGGGGAGTCTTTTGTGACAATTAGCATTCCAAATAAACGTCATGTGGTCGCTCCACAATATTGACTGCACCTTACAGGAAGTTAAGCAACTTATTGCTCTTCGTTTCTTTCTGTTTCCTCAATTTTATTTTCCACAGTGTTCCTGGGAAGCCATCAAGTCCTAATCCCTTGTTGCTCCTTACTTGAGCCTGACACGCGTCATGTCATTTTCCGCTCCAGACCGCAGCTGCGTTAACGACTACTCACCAGGTCCCAGCTTGGCGACCGCGCACAACAGGTCGTAGTTGATGACCGGCGTGGCGTCCTCGCTCTGACTCCAGCCTACGGGCGGCGAGGCGGGCGGCGAGATCAGGAACTGTTTGACGGGCTGTGGGGGCGCTAGGTAGGATTTATCGATGTCCTCGTCACCATTTTGGACCTGGCGGCAGCATTGATGACAATAAGTGATGTCGGGTGTTTGATTTCTTGATTTCACTTTCCCTATCGAGAAGATTTATTTAGTTTTCAATTCAGTTGTACAGATTATAAAATGGGGAGCATTATTTGTTATGGTTCCCGGAGGAGCAGCATTATTAGTAGTTGAAGCAATATTTTGAGAAGTGTTCATTAGAATGAAATATAAAGCAAAATATAAGCGAAAGAACAATGGGACTTCTGCAAAGCCAAAGTGCCTACAGTTACACAACAGCAAGTCTACGGTCAAGTAAACATCATTCGCAAATCAAATTTAATGTAGCCTTTCAGAAATGTGCGGTCATTCCTTCACCCGTAGAAGGATAGACAGCCGCCGGTGCACTTTCAATCGCTTTATTGAACAAAGATAAGGACTGTAGACAATTTAGTGTAGCTACCGGTAGATGTGTTTGACCTCTATTACGAAGAGTGCAAAAAAAAATAAAATAAAAAAATAAAAGCACTATGTGCAGCTAATGACAGTCTGTCTCGCAAATGTATTCGCTGTAATAACAAAAACCTACATGAAGTAATTGTCTCTGCTGAATCCTTAATCCTTTTATAATTACACACAGAGAGGCGCAGCAGCAGTCATAACAAGGCATATCAATGAGCGATGACAATCTTATAGAGACAATCCGACGCAGCTTGTCAAAGTACGTGGAACCTCAGTGCGTATTTTTCACTGTCGTGTGCGAGTGGTGGGTGGTGCTCGAGCTCACCTGGGCAAAGTACAGTTTGAGTTTGCGGCCGTTGAACTCCGACTCGTGTAGCTCGATACGGGCGCGGGCGGCTGCTTCGGGTGTGCTGAAGTTGATCCGGACTCTCCGGAAGCTTTTGAACAGTTGGAAGGTTGCCTGATCGTCGTAGATCCGAAACGCCGCCTCAAATCTCTCCTGTGAGAGGGGGGGAACAACCCATCAACAAATATTTGAGGATATTGCGAAATATGCTAACTAGCGAACATTATGCAAACTCCCAATCTGAGATTTGAACCTGAACTTCAAAACTGTGAGGCATACGTGCTAACCGCTAGGGCATCGTAATGAACAACATTTATTAAGGAGCCATCGGCCTGTGGGTCGCCAGTTGCCCATCACTGCTGTATTATCAAGAAATCAATGAAATTGAAAGAAATATGTCGAGTTGCATTTTCTCCCCGTGCTTGCGTGGTTTTGCTCTGCTGGCAACCACTCCACGGTGGTCCTCACCTCTTACCCAAAGTCATCTGGGAAAAGCTCGAGCTCACCTGTGAGATCAGTGAAGACAAGCGCGACAAAAACTGGATGGATGTAAATTTTTGGACACAGTCGGTTTTTCTACCTAGTCTTGAGGGCCATTTTGGTAAATTATGATATTACGAGGCCGTCCGGTGGTTGACTGGTTAGCACGCCGGTCTCACAGCGCAGAGGTGAGGGGCTCGATTCCGGCTCCAGCCTTCCTGTGTGGAGTTTGCATGTTCTCCCGGTGCCTGCGTGCGTTTTCTCCGGGTACTTTGATTTCCCCTGACATTCCAAAAACATGCATGGCAGGCAAACGGAACACTCTAAATTGTCCCTAGGTATGATCGTGAGCGTGAATGGTTATTAGTCTATCTGTGCCCTGCGATTGGCTGGCAACAAGTTCAGGGTGTCCTCCCGCCTACTGCCCAAAGACAGCTGGGACAGGCTCCAGCACACCCCGTGACTCTTAGAAGGATAAGTGGATCAGAAAATGGATGGATGGATGATATTTCAAGTTGTTTTGCAGTGTTGCCTGTATTGTTTTTCCATGAGATGAGACAGAGCTAATATTGCTCAGAGATTCATCACCGCCTCCATCAGAGACTCAGACGTGACTTTTGCTACACTTCTCTCATTTTCTTTCCAGATAATTTGGTAATATGATTTCCAACTTCCTGTCACTGTCCTTCAATCTTTTTTTTTTCATCCCAATGCTATTTCCTCTTTCCCCAACATCCTGATGTATTCTATGTATGCTATGTTTCTTCAATCAGACAGCGCCGCGGGAGCAACAGGGAACATTTTCCGATCCCCTTTATCCTCACAAGGGTCGCGGGGGGGTGCCGGAGCCTATCCAAGCCGTCTTCGGGCAGTAGGCGGGGTACACCCTGAACAGCGTGCCAGCCAATCGCAGGGCACACACAGACGAACAACCATCCGTGCTCACACTCACACCTAGGGACAATTTGGAGTGTTCAATCAGCCTGCCATGCATGGGAATGGATAAAAGAACATAACGGGCCGTATGTGGTCCTCGGGCCCTTTGCCCGCCCCCGGTTTCGATCATTGTGCTGAGGTCTCACAAAATTAGTTAATTTGGTCTGACTTTTGAGGCAGTCTTCACAGGGTGCCACGTTCCTGTTTCAATGCATTCAGGTGGATCGAGATGAACCGGAGTTCGTCAGTGTCGCTCCTGCTCACTATCTCCTCGAGTTGCCGCGGGAATCTTTACTGGAATCTTAATTAAATGTGCACTATCTCTGAGAGTCAGTCAGTCCCTTCAGTCTTCCCAGAAACTGAAAATAGTCCTCTGTGAATTCATCACAACGCGACGAATCTCACAATGCACTCGGATGTCAAGATTGTCAATATCACCTCTTAGGATCTAGTGTAAGACATTTGATAAGGTTTATCGGTTACAAAACAAGATCCTTGTGAGAATATTGATGGAAATTAGACAAATTGGCCACAACTATATCAGGAATGTGAAGTACATTTACCCACAAAAACACGGCAGTTCTTTTAAAATCATTTTTTATGATTTTTTTAATGCAACATTCAAATTTCTTAACATGGTGAGGGCTTTCGTTAGCTGCAAGCTCTACTGATCACCTTGAAATATTTCACTCTGCATGTAGCACATCTAAATTCATATAAAAACAAATAAATAAAAAGTTGATTTTTTTTAAATTGAACTAAGGAACCAAATTAATTTGTTTCCATGATACAGATGTATGATGGCATGGATGGAAGTTATGTGGATCCTGTTTGGTTCTATTTTTTTTTAAGGAAAAAAAAAATGTAGCATTGATTTCCACTTTCTCCCTCCCGCTGAATCCCATGTGCAAAATAAAGCCAACCGGTCACCACATTTTGTAAATAAAAGACTATTTGGGACGCTTGGTGACTTGTCCAAGTGCTTTACTTTGAAGTTGGCATGAATATGAATGCACCTTTAGATTGCTGCATTAGCTTGCCGTGTTAGCTCGGAGGGTCACCAGCGCCACGATGAGATTCTGCTTCAAGATAAACAAAAATCGCACCACTACTTCTGACACAAACAGCGAGGGTTACGATTCAGCAAGCTGTGAATCACACCCACGCTCCAGTGTGGCATGGTAATGGGGAAAAAAAACAACAACAGTTTCCTTTTCTCACAAACACAACATGTCTGAAACAATTCAAACCAGCCTTAACCCTTTGATGCACCCTGTAACCTGATAACATGAGGTTACGATTCAGCAAGCTGTGAATCACACCCACACTCAAGTGTGGCATGGTAATGGAAAAAAAAAAAAAACAAAACAACAGTTTCCTTTTCTCACAAACACAACATGTCTGAAACAATTCAAACCAGCCTTAACCCTTTGATGCACCCTGTAACCTGATAACATGATAAGCTGTCCACTGTAGTTACTGCCGTCCCTGAAAGGGTTTAAGCAATGTTGCTATAACACACTGATGTCATACTACACAGGATGCACTTATTACCCCAAACAATTGTTTCTTAGCAAGACTTGAAGTGAGGATGCAAAGATCTCATTTACATCGCGACTCATAAATAATTAGCTCAACAAACGAGTGTTAGCTCAGCCCACCAGCGAAGCCCATTGAAGCTCTTATCCAATACGTAAATCTTCCATGAGTGCCAGCCAGCTCCTATGACTCATGTCATGAAACGCCGGATGTGATTAGCGACACGCGCGCCGTCAAGCTAAACGGATATTTTGGCACAAGGGGAACGGTGGGCCAAGCTCGACGATCATGTTCCATCATATAACCCGTCAAATTGACCCCCCAAGATACATAAGTGTAACAAGAAGTGAGCGTGCTGATCACTGATTGATGAATACGCGAGGTTTCCTGAGGGATACAGGTGAGAAAGCTTTCGAGCCTTGCATCAATGTGCGAGTACATCCAAAATGGCCGGCTGAATGACACGCGCACACGTACAGACAGACAGGCAAGTTGATGCAGCACCGGCTGCTGTTCGTGGCAGGACATCAGGTGGATGTGCTTGGAACAGCATGTCCTACTTTTCATTCTACAAGTATTCAAACTGCCTGGCAAATATGATTCAGCTCAGTCAGACCTACAAAGTCACAAGTTAGGGCACAGTACAAGTACACTTCCTATTCTTGTGAACTGGAATTTTTTTTTTGTACACTAGCCTGCCTTGTGTGCTGGGCAGCGTGGGATCGGTTTCCACTCGGTGACGGTGTGGTTGTGGGTGTGAATGGTTGTTTGTCTCTATATGTGCCCTGAGACTAGTCCGCCTTCCGCCCAAAGTCAGTTGGGATCGGCTACAGCATTCCCCACAACCCTGTTCAGGAAAGGCGGTGTTGAAAATGGATAGATGGATTTAAAAAGATGCAAGTGCATCAAATCCACTTGGAAATAATTTGAGATGCCTATCGAATCATCTTTTTTTGGAGAGAGATATTTTAGAAGGGGGCGCCCTGCGGTTGGCTGGCAACCGGTTCAGGGTGTCCCCCGGGTCGGCTGGGATAGGCTCCAGCAACCCCTGCGACCCTTGTGAGGATTAAGCGGATCGCCCAGCCCTATAGAACGTGTAGTCAGCATATGGTCTTCCTTATAGAGGACCACAATTCATCTTTGAAAGTTCCCGGGGTAATGTTTGTATATCAGCACGCATTGTGGCACAAAAATAGATTTTATATCAGTAAAACAACAACGTATGGCAATGCATGTGTTCAATACTTATTATGGAGGCTCCACCAATAGATGTTAATCTAATATGCGACAGCAATGACGTGATTAATGGCACGCCAGAGTAGTGATCCAAAAGTAGGCTCTTTCATTTCAGAGATGAGTCAACTAATTATGTGGTCCACTATATAAAAATGCCAAAATAGTATTTAGGGAGAAGGAAATGAGTGGATTATTATGAACGCAGCCTGAAACGTTTATACTGATCAGTGGATATACAAAAAAATTATAAAAATCGACTACACCCTTGTTCAAATGCCAGGTTGTTCTGATCTAAACTAAATGAGACCAAGCTACAATAAATCATTTCGAAAACTTTATCACAAGGTTAATGCGACCTAAAACTTAATTAAGGGCAAAAAATATATATAAAAAAGGAACTCTTTTGGAAAGGGGAAGTGAAAATAAACAACTGAGAGAGCGTGGTTGCATTGGTAATGTGGCTGTGTTCAGACTTAACCAATCACATTCAAACTAATGTTCATTCCCGGCTTCTAATTAAACCCAAATAAATTTCACATGTTTTAGTAGGCTTTTCTTGACTTTTTTTTTCTTTCTAGTAGAAAGCCTGAATGATTGGCATTTGGAACTTTTGACAATTCCCTCCACCTTGACCAATGTGGCTATGAGGACAAGGGGTCAACCAATCAGCCTGGCTAGAAGGAAGATAGATGCAAGGGCTCTTGAAAGTGCTGAGCGCAAGCCTCTCTGATCGGAGTCTCCTTCATGTAACAGGTATGAATTCCCAAGAAAGTAACGACCGCTATCGGAAGTTGTGCGACAGTGGTCCATCCGGACCCCTGCTGTGACAGTTTGTCCAGGGCCAGGCAGCATGATACCGCTCCATATGACGCCGGTGTGGAAACATGAGACTTTAAAACATTCATGCTGCTGCACAAACTAGCTAAGTGGGACTATTTCTCCAGAAGTTATTACTATTATTA